TAACAGAAAATTAGAAACAAAGCTTCACTTTGGAATATAAATTACAATAGACTTAACGATTTTGTTCGATTACCTAGAGAGAGTTATTTTGTTTGTTTTTCAGTCGATTTTTTAAGATTGCTATGAAATAGAATCCGTACAATAATTAAACTTTTTTTCCTTTTTTTTTTTTAGGTTAAGGGTATTTAAGATATTATACATAATTTTAATATCATTTGGATGGTAGAAGGGATTTAGTAATTACGGTTCAAAACACAAGCATTTAAGTACATTTCGATACCACAAACCTCTAAATACACTCAGTTTAAACCACCAGTAAGTTATGTGTAATTTTTTCATATATATACCATACCCCTGTAACATTATTATGGTGGAAACATATAATTATTCCAGAGTACCCAACACAGCCCATGCCAAAGTAGAAGAAACAAATAAAATTTAAACTCAAGAGTCCAAAACATTTCATGGGGTAGAAGAACGAAGCATGCAACGGAATTGGCAAAATAAAAATCATGAAGGTGATTGATAAGATTTTTACAGATCGATGGCATCACTGACTGATCTTCTTGCTAATCTATTGACTAGCCTTCTTCCAAATCCAATCAGCTGTCTCTTATACAAATCTAGATGTGTTTAATTACTCTATTTTAGGTGAAAATGAATTTCTTTCTCTTTTCTCCTTTTTTTTTTTTTATTTCCCTTTTTTTTTTTAGAATAGTTAAAACTGATTTTAGCGGGTGGGATCCCATACCAAGTAGAAACTCAATATCCATTTATTTCATCCAAGTCCCCACCTTAGAATCTAACGGGAAACAACAACCTAACTTCTAATTTTGTTACAATAAAGTATATTTTGATTATGGAAGGGACGAGACTGAAAAATTATCAATGGTATTAATATATTTAACGTAAAGAAAATTTCCCACATCATTCTCGGTGATGGTTCCTCATCAACTGGGCAAATGTTCGTCTCCTCACCTTACTTCAACTGGACCTCCACAGAAACAGCCTTGAAGAGCCTTCAACGTTTTAATCATAGGGATTTCTGAAATTCTTTAGCAGTTCTGGGATGTCATAAGCCAGCATGTCATCTACAGCTTGGACCATTTTCGGTTTCAGCTTCTCAAACTTGTCGAAGTTGTAACCACTCAAAACTTCTTTAAAGTGTTCGACATTTGGGAAATCCCCACGAGGCAGATGGAACTCCCTTTGGACCTGCATGACAAAGTTAATTGCAAGATTAATAAATGCATTAATACAGAACTAAGCATTTTAATATGCAATCTTAAAGCACATCATTGTAAGCATAACCTGCGTGCTTATGTTGGGGATACCTTAGCAAACTCATCTTCTAAATTATTGATGAGCCTCTGTTGAGTCTTGGCTTTGCCCATCATGGCAGGCATCTCCTTTTTGAGATGACTGATAATGTAAGCATGTATCTTGACAGCTCTGGCGCGCTTAACAAACTCATTTATCTGTGAGAAACGAATGTTGTTAAGAGTTCTCCAATGACAGTGATGATCTTGACATATCAATATCATATGAGAAAGGGAAGAGGGAGAGGGGGTTCTGTGGAAAGACAGTAAGTTGAACTCACTCGACAATCACAAGCCTTCTTTGGAATATCCTTTAAATCAGAAAGGAGGTCTTCTTGTTCTTTTTCAAACAGCTCTTTCCCAATTGGGCCGGTAGCATTGTCATTTACTGGCTTGTCATTGAAGGAGCTGCCAAATACAGAAACAACAATAGTATCAAACCTAGATGCAAAATGGGTTCATATATATAAAGAAAAACCAAGAGCCATTATATTATAAATCATTAACTTAGGACCACGGTCACTATCTTTTGAGTAAGTCTTGGAAGCAAATTTTAAGCAAAAATATACCAAATAGAAATGTCAAAGAATTTTATCCTGCCATATTGATATTAAGGAAAGCAAAAGATGAAATAGTCCTGCCTAAGAATGTAAAAATGAATGCCCAGAAAGAGAAAAAATTTGTTGCCTAAAATGCCCCATATGTCAAGTTGATTTGAATTGATGATTACTCACTGCCATTAGATACCAGCATATTCAATCTATCAAGGTAAGATCTTTCTGATTCTGCAACAAACTGCTACTAACCTAAATAATAGCAAAGGCAGAAAATCAAACAAAGATGAAGACCTTACCCAATGTAGACCCGAACAACCTCAGGAGTATTAAGAACTTTTCCAAGAGACCACATTAATGCTCCATAAACCCTCATCAACTGCAATTAAAAGGCCAAGTCTAGTTAATTAGGTTACTAGTGTGGACCACTACCTCTGAAAAATAAGTCTATGCATAACTATTAGATAAGAAACAATAGTGATACATAATTCTTACTTGCTGAGTATCAATTTGATCAGACTTGTTCAAAACTACACGAATCTTGTCATCATGACCACGTAAGGAATAAATTACACGCTTGAACTCATCACTAACATCAAGTTTGTGAGGATCAAACAGAAGTAGAATGAGATCACATTTGGCAGCAAACCATGATGTTACACCTGTAAAATCATAGGCTCGCTGTGTCCGTTGCTTTTCACCTGATAAAACTCCAGGAGTGTCCACAAACGTTACATGCTCCAAAAGCTTCAATCAAATTGGAAGCATACTCTTCAGAAATGAAAGAAGCATAAGCAGAAAGTTCCCATGATAATTTTAGATTGTACAAGAAAGAACTTACAGGATGTGGCATTTGAGAACACTCAAACTTTGACAAGAATGCAGTTCCAAAAGTAGTGAGACCATTGAATGGCATGTCAGCCTGGACAGCAACAGTGTTTCCTGGAATACTTCTTTCATCAGGTCCAGACTGCATAAAAGAAAGACAATGATACAATATGGATAGGATATCAGCAAATTTTACACTAAAAACAGATGATCAATAACAGGAAGGATGCATGGAAATCAAAGAAAATTTCAGATCCAGCTTCGATCTAAAGAACAAATGAGAAATAATGTTAGACTATTAGTGGCAAAATCAGATAATATGGATTGGGCAATACCATAACAACAACAAATCTGTCAGTTGTTGGCTCAGGTCCAATATGAGCTCCTGGAAAAACAATGAAAAAAGAATCACAAACGGAAAGAAAGAGAAAGACATTTTGTACAATGGATAGCAGAGAGATTTACTCACCTGGGTAAGTACGTTTTAGCAAATGTTTGATGAATGTTGTTTTCCCTGTGGAGTATTGACCCAAGAGCATAACCATTGGTTTAGCATCAAAATCACTATTTGTCTGCACTAACAGAAACAACAGCAATGTGTAAACTTACAAATGCTGTTATATGAATTCTCACGCATAAAAGGTTTCACATCCATTGCTCACTAACCAGTAATGGGGATACAAAATCATTAAAGCGGTATGTAACTTCTAAAGGCTTCAGTTTCTGTAAGTAAAGTCTCTTTAAGCCATCTATGATTGATGTGACAGAGGACAAAGGAACCTGTTAAACAACAAAGTAGACCCCGAACAAGGGGAAATAGGAAAGTCAAAAATACAGAAAGTTGCAGCAAAATTTAAGAAAATATGAAAACTATCATAATTATCATCATTGTCCATGTTTTTGGACAAGGAATGGTGTATAGGCCAAGAAGCACAATTGGTGGCTTCCATGCAACCTCATTGCAATAGTCAGTGACAGTATAAATAAATAAATAAAGAAATAAAAGGTTGGGAAGATGGAGTGAGTCCATCAGGAATCACAAGAATAAGTCTTCAAAAGAAGTGAAAGTATTTAACACAATGCAAGGGGTCAATCATGTAGTTACAAGACAACCTTTTTTGCTGATTTTGAAGAAAACCATTGAGCTGCAATTGATGATTGCACTGGCGAACTACCTGCATCACAACCAGCAGTAAAATAAATACAAACAACCAAAGCACCAAACAAAAGAAACAAAAAAACCAAAGCCAGACAAAAACTAAGAAAATGAGAAACTTTTTACCATTTATATCAGGATCGCTTGACTTTGAAAAATGTTTCTTCTTCTGAATAAGTTAAACAAAGGTGTAAGAATTTTCACAACATAAAGCACATTGAATGCAGACTTCAGAAAAAGTCAAAGTAGCATACTTACTACAAGTAGAATATCCAAACCATCCATTACAGGAGGTTTTACATTCTCAAAGTCATCTGCAGTTCATGATAAAAGAATAACTTAGAATTAAAGAATATAAGATAGAAATCTAACAGCTTCACAACAAGTTATGAATCCGATACTGAAAATATAGCAGTAGTGGACAAAGCAACAATCTTAAGAATTACGAGCTACAAAAATAAATCCCAACTTAATCATCATACCATCACTGTTGAGGAGATCAAATGTTATTTCCCTTCCAACCTGCGCCAGAGAAACTAACTACACATGAAAAGTAAAACAGGTTAGGTTCAATAAAAAATGCAGAATACAGGAAAACCTAAAGGCTCCAACCTGCATAGCAATGATGAACTCTTTGAAACCAAGATATCCCTGTCTCTTAGAATCTGCAATTGCCCACACCTTACAGAAACCAAAAGAAACGAAGTAAACAAAACCCAATTAGTTAGAGAAGAAGTGAAACTCCAGTGTGCGAGCAAGAAGCATGGAGACAAAACAACAAAATGGTAAATCATCAACTATAGTTAATGATATTAGCACACACACACGACAGGACTATTTAGCATAGAAAAGATTATCTTAGGAAATCCAACAGCAGTTTTTACGAGGTTTATGGATCGACATCCAGTTCTGGCATGACGTAATATAACTGAACCCAGAAGTAGTAGTTTATCTTGTAGGATAAACTAATGCAAGCTAGTATGAGCCAATGAACATAATCAAATTGACCTAAAACCCAAAACCAAGCTAACAAAACATTAGATCAGATGAAGTTTAGAGTACAAGATCATATTTTTGGTCTCTTGATGGCATAATCTTAAAACACCTATTCCCTACATCATAAAATAAGTGTTTCTACAGTTCATCCTGCATTAGACAATCAATTCAAAAGCTATTTAATTTTAAAGAAAAATCACCTGCTTGAGATCTGGTCTGGATAAATTTGACATAGCAAAGAACTTGGTTGCATCAGTACCCGTGATCCTGCCATCACTATCTACGCAAAACATAAAACTTAAAAATTAAACGAAATCAACCCCAAAATCTCATTTTATTGTATGTTTCGCACCATTGAACTGGAAAATGTCACAGATAACAAAAAACAAACAAACAATTAAAAGATCATACTCGGAATTGAAGATAAACTCAGCCTAAACAGTAAAAACACCTGAATCAGCGAAATTGAACCACTCCTGGTAGATCTTTTCGTGATCTTTGGAGCACGACCCGATCCTACCCTGACCTATCTCCATTGACCTTGGCAGTGAATCAGCGACACAGTTTCCGTCGTCTTCAACGAATCAAGATTGTTCGAAGAGACTTTTGAAATTCGAAGCACAGAAATCACGGGAAGCAAACAGACAGCTTGCTTTGCTTGCACAGGAAAAGTGGAGTGTCCCTTGGCACCGACGGGAACGAACAAAACGCGACCCAGGGATACGTGGTCGTTTCGCCCGTTTAACCGTCCTCCGTCCGTTGGGATGGGAGGAGAACGACGTCGATTTGAAGGATGGTGCTGGAAGTTTTGAACTGAAGAGCAATTGGCCGGCGCCAGAAAAGATAAAAATGGTTTTCCAGATTTAGTGGTTAAAGGAGGCATATAATTTTGTCAATAAAAATAATTAATTTCTCTCATCATTAAAATCACAAGCAACACTTATATTAATTTCCAAAGGCTTTTTATTTGCCACCAATGTACATTTATTATTTCAGGATTGAATGGTTAAAAATGGTCACATTAAATACACATTTATTCTTGGATTGGAACTTCAAATGTTGAAATGAACTATGGGGACATAGAAAATGAGGGATGTTGTATGCTCTTTATTTTATTTTTTACTTTTAATTCCTTCAATTATTTTAGCTTTTCTAACTAAAGAAAGATAAGGTAAGAATTTGTTTTCCTCTAACTAAATATGTTCTTTTTTGAGTCAAAATAAATTTATTTATTAATAATAAAAAATCACATAGGTTACAAGTCAATCTATATGGTGTAGCATATCAAAGATATTATAAAACTTAATTCTAAAAATGTAAAAAACATTTGTTTAGGATGCGATAATAGAATAATCTAATACTTATATGGATATTACTGTCAATTCTAGTTTTTGATCTGACAATAAAATTGCAAGTTAGATAATCTACTAGAACCAAAAGATGAAATGGTAATTGTTGAAATAATTTATGATTTAAAAATATTTTAAAGCAACACAATGCCTACCAACTGCCTCTTCAACTTTAAACCTTCAATGGAAAGAATATAAGATAATGATAAAATCTACATGGACTATGCTAAGGAGGATGGATAGCCGCATTAGTTAGCGTTTAGGGAGGATAATAACTCTTGTAAAAAAACCCTTAAAAAAAGAAAATCATAAAAAAAGGGAAGAGAAACAAAGAATCAAAAGGAAAATAGGAGAAAGAAAGATGGGAAAAAGAGGGAAAA